AGCCTCCAAGAATGGCCGATCTTCCCGCTGACCGGTTTAACACCTCCCATCCGCTCAGCTTCGTGGGGATCGACTATTTCGGGCCGCTCACAGTCAGGCGGTTCCGCAAGACGGAAAAAAGGTACGGTCTGCTGGTGACGTGTCTCGCCACGCGAGCCATTCATCTGGAAGTGTCCAACAGCCTGGATACTGACAGCTTCCTGATGGCCTTTCGACGGTTCGTGGCACGCCGAGGTCGTCCAAAGAAGGTTTTCTCCGACAACGGAACAAACCTGAAAAGCGGGGAACGTGAACTCCGAGAGGCACTTACACAGTGGAACCAGCAAAAGATCTCTGACGAGCTGAGCCAGCAGCAGATCGAATGGTGTTTCAACCCACCAGCCGCGAGCCACATGGGCGGCATATGGGAAAGAATGATCGGCGCAGTCAAGAGAGCGCTATCGGTCGTGCTCGGCAGCGAGGTGACAACTGACGAGGTGCTGTCAACTGTCTTCTGCGAAATAGAGAGCATGATCAACAGTAGACCGCTGACACACGTCACAGACGATGTGAGAGACCTGACAGCTCTCACACCGAACCATTATCTCCTGGGGAGGGGAAGCCGTTGTCTTCCCCCTGGAGTCTTCAGCAGCCAGGATCTGCACTCCAAAAAAAGATGGAGGTACGTTCAAGCACTGACGGACCATCTCTGGCGAAGATGGAAAAGGGAGTACCTCCATACCCTGATCCACAGGAGAAAATGGCAAGCTGATCAACGGAACCTAGCAGTCGGCGACGTGGTGCTGCTAGCAGAATCTGACACGCCCCGAGGTCACTGGCCGCTGGCGCGCGTGCTGCAAGTGTTCCCGGGGCCTGACGGCCGAGTCCGCGCCGTACAGCTCAAGACGGCAGCAGGTGGTACGTATACCCGTCCTGCCACGAAGGTGGCGCTTCTGGAACTTGCCCCGTCGCCTCCTCGGCCATCTCATTAGCCGACCGAACGCAAGCAAGAACTGATACTGGCTTACTGTGGACTGTCGAGCCTACGCCCCCGAACCAGTTAAAGTAAGGAAGAGTATTTTGCGTGCGCGTGCTTACCGACACACTCACTCTTCATTCTTGTTTTGCTTTGTGAATTTGAGCTTCGTAACTCACGCATATAGCCGTCTGTGCTTCGCGTTTGTCTTCTGAACCTGAATTTCATAACTCGCGCATGTGGCTGTTTGTGCTTTGTAGTTTATTCGATTTAGGCGTGTAAATCGTACTTGTTTGTACATCTTTGTCGGTGATCGTGTCATTTTGTGTTCTCCCTGTGGTCAAACACGGGGGTGGAGTGATGTCACCGACGAAAGTGTTCGGACCAACCCGCGCCACCGCTGTGCCGCCGTGATAGCCGGCCGGCCGCCGTGCCACCGCGGCGCCGCCGCCGCTCGTTGCAGCCGTCCCGCCGCCGCACCGCCGTCACCCTGTCCAGACTCAGGATGAGTTATGAAGCATTGTGCAGGGCGGGGCCGCGAGCAGACGCGGCCGGTGGTCGGTACGCGTGCCGCCGACGCTGCCGAGCCGCAGCAGCGCCGCGGCCGCCACCGAGACCGAGATATAAATTAAAGACATGTCGTTTTAAGGCACGTAGGCCGCCAAGCTGGCGCCTTCAGCCACCTCTCCGCTGCAGTGCAAGTTCGCACTCGTTTTGCACACGTCTTAAGCATTGCGTATAAAATGTGAGTCACGTACGACCCCGGCAGAGTCTCACTTCGACCGTCGCGCTGTGCGCACGGACTGATCTGCCCCGCTCGACGCCTCGCCCGGCTGAGCGGGGACAGAGTACAGAAGCACGCGCGCAGACCGACTCTCCTGCGCGCAGCCGCGCCCGGCGGGGCAGTGTCAGTGCTTCAGATTGTACAGCGAAAGTGAATTGTGCTCCGTGTCTGCGTGTTTCATCTACCGGTTTTCTTCACAACTGCTTCCGCTTCTTGCTTCGCGTATACTTCAATAAATCCTCTACGGGAAATCTTCACGTCTATCTACAACTGTAAATCGCCGAATATCAAAAACCCAGGAGCTCACATAGCAGGCGGGCGGGCTACGAATGTCGCACAAACTCACCGAATAAAATACAGTCCACATCCAACCAGAAAAGAACTCCGAACGACAGTTTGTCGGCGACAACTTGTATTTGTTCTTAACTTGTATCGTGTTGTAGCACGCTATCAATCTAACTAAAGAACCCATACATTTTCGCTCCTGTAAAATAGTCGAACAGTTTTCACCATTTTCATGACACATTCGCCTGGAGGCGACACTGTGGCTCCCAGCGGTGTGATAAGGAAACGGCTGTCACTGACACCCGAAATGATTTAGTCCGACCGTCTGCGACAGTGCTGTTACGGGCTGGCGAAAATGTCGTTTCAGATTTATACGGCCTGTTTCCACATGACTTTTGTGCTGTAAGAGCCGCCTGGCTGCAGACGTGTGTTGCTTGCTTGGGAATACCGGACTGGACCTTTTTTGGTCGATATCTTTGTGAGTGACACCATATCTTTTTGGTGGATGCCTTTATGTGTGTCACAGTGCCTTGTCGTGTCACGCTATTATTAATTTCATTCGATTAATTCCTTTCGATCAGTGCTTGTTTCTGATAACCATGCTCCATTTTGGTACTGTCCTCAGAATTATCGTTGATAAACGCATTTGAAAGCCGGTCGATGGACTGAGTCCCCGTGCACAATCTCAAACGGGACGTTTCTAAGCACCCCTTGCGTGGTAAATGTTACATCATGGATTGCTAGGGACGTTGAAGATGCACTTATAAAATTTCGGAATCACTTTTATTATCCGTGGTACGATGCTGTGAGTTTGACTTGTACACTGCCTGATTTGCCGCTTGTTGCTGCTTCACACCGACCTAGCCTCAGTCGGGCACATTTACCAGCAGCGGAGGACGCTCAGCTCGCTTGGCACGAGTCAGCCAGCCTATAACGGAAATCATTACACGCCAAACGGCGCCCGGGCCGTGATAGGCGGCTCTAATGTCCGCCCGTATGAGCTATATATCGAGGTAGTTTGGCCGCACACCGCCCCCCCCCCCCCCTTCTCTACGGTCAACACTCTCCCCTACGCCCGGCCCCACGGTCCTTTGAGTTCCCTCACCGTTGAAGTCAGGACGACGAAGTGGGAACTGGGCGTGAGCTGAACGGACTGCGCTAGCTAGCTCTTGGCTCAGTCAAGCTCACTGCTGGTCAAAAATATGCACTAAAAATAGGATCAGTCCATTCTGTTGATGTCTTAACCCGGCGGTTGATATGTTCCCTCATCATGGAATGTGTTATTTTTGTGGGTCCAGGCTCGCCTGCCAGAGTGCTGTTGGATGGCGCGGTCAGAGCTGTTGATGTCTGGATGTTTTTATGTCGGTCTGTGGGTCATTCCCTTTGATTTATTGCTTGTTTACTTGTCCAGGTGGTCGTTTAATTAGTAAATCGATTGCTGGAGTGAGTGGGGCTGTGTTGATAGTCTGCCGCTGCTTTCAGCACTGTGTACGCCAAGCTTTTGGTGTAATGAGGTGCCTCGAGTGTCGCGTATGATCCCTCAGTATTAGGATGACTGGCGGAGTTGTTACGGGCGTAATTAAAAACAATTTTTCAGAGTGAGCCTCAAACTTGAAAGCATGATGAACACTTACTAAAAACAGACCTTTTTATCATACACACACTGCTGCTTGACAGATAAGATGTTGTTTCAGTGAAAATGATTGAAAGTTTTGCTACACTTTTCTGCGTAATGTTACAAAGCCGTTGTTAGCGGAGCGCCGCCAGAGTCAACATAAAGTTCTTGAAATAGGCACACTGTATTTTCACCGCTTGTGAGCACTCGGACACGAAAAACCGCACGACCGTCACGCTCCGGCTCCGTCCCCGAATGCCCGCCCTCCCGCCGGCCGCCGCAGTCAGCGGTCAGCCGGTGCCCCGCGGCGGTAACCTCCGCAGGGGCGAGGTCAGGCTCCGGCGGAAGGCAGGGCGCCCGCAGGGGCGAGGTCAGGTCAGCCCCGACTCGACTCGGACACCGCAGCGACGCGGTGTAACATAAACGCACATACGGGTACACCGTTGTACTGATTTATATATTAGTCGTCTGTTAAATCCTTTGATGGTATAGTAACTGTGGAGCTTCATCTTTTTTCTTTCACTGCAATGGATGCGCCAGCGGTGCCAGGCATCCTATTGCGTGCTAAGTTTACCAAAGCAAACTGGAACCTGCCACCTTTCTCACGTCTATATTTCCCAAAGTTAATTCGCCCTGTTGACAGAACGAACTCTACACACAATCAGTGACTGCACAAACTTTGATTAACTCCGAGCCTCCCCTTCCATCCTCCCCCTCCCCCACACACACCTCCCTTCCGTCCGCCCGTCCGCACATTCTCTTCAGCCGCCAATCTGAGAAAATCTTATTTGAGAACTCCAGACAGATGTTTGTGAATCAGTTGGCGAATAGCGGAAAACTAAATTGGCAGTGCGAGTAGAGAATCTAGAAACGGAGAATGTGTCAGGTGACTGCGTGTTGTGTTATGCTATCTGTGTGTGTGTGGGAGGGGGTGGGGGTGGGGGGGGGGGGAGTCGAATAAGGGACTGGTGGCATTGGACTGACATATTTTATTTGGGGCCACCTTCTATAGCGAGCTGTCATATAGGCAACATCTTGACAGCTGCAATGTACAAGATGACCATAGGATTTTTCATGTCATCAACCTTTGAAATGGTAGAGTTATTGCAACTTAAAAAGAATGTACGGGTTTTGTCCTTTAATTTCTTCGGATAATTGTTTTTATCTGCCCAATCGACAAAATAGCTGAAAAAATGATAACGGTTAAGCACGAGGCGAGAAAATAAGATGGAAGTCCATTTTTATCTGATCATGGATTAGAAGCTCTTATTGTTTAGAGACGTTGCCTATGTCTGCATTGTTTCTCCGTGCCTTTTTCTATCCGTGGGGTCGCCTGACTGATATTTTTTTCTGTGTTTCAGTACGACTTCACGACAGTATCCAAGAAGAGAGCTTTCATTACCTGGTCTTTGATCTGTAAGTATCTCGTCATCGGGCAAAGTTGCTTGCCTTGTGCCGTGATCCTCTGATTTGTATGTCTCTGGTGTTCATTTGAAGATCCGTGAAGCATGTTGACTAAATAGCCGCTATATACATTTACCTCATATTTTTAATCGTACATTACATGCATTCAGTTACAGTCACGGTTGATGCACGACATTGCACTTGCATTGATATCCTATATCTCAAGTAGGTATAACCAGACTTTGTTTGAGGGCGACACTTGTCAAACACAAAGTCAGGTTGAAAGACAGTAAGATTAAACTAAAATAAATTACTACGTGTCACCATATTCAGTCGCAAACAACAATAACTACCTAGTAACACCATTTTTGCTATAGTTTTCTTTCCGACCACTTTATACCCTCTGGGGTCTGAAACGGTAATTCGATTTCGCTACTGGCGACTGTGTTATACGCCCAACGCACTGCTGAGAAATTGCCTCTTTCAAGTAGGTTCAAAGGAGCACACGACGAGGCGACGAATTTTTCTTTTCTGGGAGTCTCATTCTGCGTGAGCCTTTACATTACGATAATGGGATTTAGTGTCAATAGAAGCTTGAGGAGACCTAAAGAAGTGGCTAATGCATCCTGAATAAGACGAAATTACTTTTCTGCTACTTAGTGGAAGGCCCGGAGGGCATGGCATGGTATAGGTACGCTGATAAGACCTCCTTTGAACGTTGCGTTCGTTCTATTTTATAATGCATTGCATAGGTATCAGACAAGTATGCGAGATAATCTTGACACAAACCTGCACTGTGCTGTTTGCTGGAGTTGTTGCTATACTCATCTTCTTACACGGTGATAGGGTGTAAGACGGAAGATATGAATGCTTTCATACAGACATATTTTGACTTCCCTGGTAATTTTAGCACATATAGTGCGAACTGCGAATCGGCCTTGACCCGTTTGCCTGTTTGCTGTTAGTTCACTCGACACTCCGGGGTGACCTAATGAACATACTCGGTGACCCTATTTCCCCTATTTTTCCGTGTAATGTGTATTGGCCCTATGCAGTGACTGGACTCTAGTCACTGACCTTTCAATGCTGAAAGACCAGTCCTCTCAGTGACCGTTGACCTTCGCGGGTCAGTGACAAAGTGCGCACGCTGACGTTAACTCGTCCCATGTCTCCAAAGGCGTTCATCACCCTCAGACAGAGACGAGACTGCAATTTTCGTGAAATGAGAGCTCTTTTCTAGTCTCCTGTGGTGGTCGTGGCATTTTGCACTCGTGCTCACTACGCGAACGTGACTAAAAATGTAGCATTTTTTGTCGACTCAAGACTCTGGAGTTCATTCTATGTCAGGGTGTGAGATGATCGTTCCCGTTCTATAATCCCTACCTGTCATAACATGTCCGCAGACGAATCCTTTCAGCAGTCATATGATCAAAATTAAATCAAACCGCCCATTTCAACGACGTCTTATACAATAACTGTTCCCATTCTTCCCCTAAATCACTTACTTACTGGGAAGGAATGCCTGTGGCGTTTTCCTCTTTCTCACGAAAAGCCATCGGTGGTGGAAGGGGACCCCGAATGACTCTGTTGCGCGTGTGCTGATGACTTGATGCTCCTCCCTCGGATCATCAGCCATCATTGATAGACGAAGACCGTCTTAGGCTATTAATGGGAAGCCCCCGATGACCTAAAAAAAAACATTGATGACCTCTGTCCCGTGTTTCGCAGCGTGACTGGCGGGGAACTGTTTGAAGATATCGTCGCCCGGGAGTTTTACAGTGAAGCGGACGCGTCTCACTGTATCCAGCAGATTCTCGAGTCGGTCAACCATTGCCACCTCAACAGCATCGTGCACCGGGATCTCAAGGTAGGCGACATTCTGTGATTAGACATTACATAGACTGTACTTAGTGCTTACTGCTAATCACATCAACAATACCGTGCACCAGGACGTTAATGTAGGGAGGGACTGATGATTAGACTTTCAGCGGGCTTATCACATAAACGGCGTTGGCACCTCATTTCAAAGTGTGTGACAAGCTAAGATTCATTTCCCTATATAAAATTGGATATTGATTAAACATCCAACCATCCTAAACCAGTATTAATTACTCATTTGGTCTTAACGTTTGCCCTAACGCCAATCCTGCATGTTTCTGGCATGCCCCTCCCTACATATGCCCTTGCTCCTCCCGCTCCCCCTCCCCTTGTCGCTTTAGGGTCGCATCGATTTGGTTCCCCGATGGTTCCCCACATCGATTTTCCCAGGACACGTGCACCTCACATCGACTTGTCCGCTGTACAAATATTACTTCCTTCCTGGTCTTCGTGGACGTTTATCCGTCGCGTCGGTGCCGTTATCCACGCGAACTTCGGATTTAGTGCCGCCATAGCCTGGAAATGCACACGCCACTGAACATCGAACACGCTTGCTCTGAGTCACGAGCTTTCCTGGGTCGTCTGCGCTACACCACGCTCATACCCGGACCACCAGCGCTATATATCGGTCCTTTGGGTCCCTCCCCCTTAGTGATTCAATACTGTTTATATTTTTTTACGTTTTTATTACATACCCACGTAATTTTTAACCACTTTGATGCTGATTTTTGTAGCGCTTTGTTTTGTTTCGTTTGTTATGTACGGGGCATTCCATGTCAACCGGGACAGCCAAAATCGGCCACCTCTGCGATTTTGTTCAAACTTGGTATACTTATTGGCTATTGGGTGAAACCTCTGAGGTTGAAAGGATTTTGTCATATGCCCTCCGGCTACAGAGATACAAGTCGCTAAACTTCTGCTTTTTGAGCAGAATTGGACGTGTATTGCAATCTTGAAAGATCTATAGCTTCAACATTTTTGAAGCTATTAATTTCAAACAAACTAAAACGTGTACATAAGGAGTTATGCTAGTAAAATTTGACAATTTTCATATTTCTTGGTGATTTTGAATTTATTTTATTTTGAGTTAATTTCTTAAAATGTAATTTGTGAAAAATGGGTATCCTTCGATTTTGCTCAAATTAAGATATTGTCTTCCACTACACGTAAGGCACACGTGCTGAGAAAACTAGAGTGGGCCAACGATAACTTTGGATGATATAGCAACAAGTAGTGCAACGTAGCACGGGCGATGGAAGGGGCCGATTTCGCTAGCTCCACCTGTTTATCGCCAATAACTCACTCAATAATTATCATATTAACGTCAAACTTTCAGTATCTGTCCAGAATCGAATTGCAAATCCTCCCGTGCAAGAAATAGGTAAATCAGTCCACAACTTTTCTAGTAATAGCGGTGTAAAGTCAAACATTCCTGCCGGAGCGGCTCGGCGGCCGGCGCCGGCCGTTGCCGCCTGAATGGTAGACTGTGCCGGCGCGGGACGGTTCCATCTTTGTGTAGTCTCTGCTGGAGAACACCAACAGAGTCCATTTATCCTGTATTCGGCCAGTCACCATTCACAGTTCACACGTGGATCCGGGCCGGCCGGCAAGCCCGCACCTCCACGACTGGCGCGCCTCCCCGATCGCACCGCACACGATCCCGACGGGTCACGCCACCGGCACGTGGCGACCACCGATTGGCCGTCGGCTCGACCTCGACCGGGTCACGCCACCACCACACACACAGCCATTGGCCGACCACGCAGCGTCACCAGGGCGGCCCGGGCGGCCGGGAACCTGCTCGGGCGGCACCGGCGGCAGCCGCCCAGCAGACGGGCCGCCCAGCTGGGCTGCCGCCCACACTCCTTCCCCCTTTAGAAGACGTAGCGCCAGATCCCTGGGGACCAGAATGGTATATTACTACAAGTGTCGAACAGACAACTTCACTGAACATGCACAAAGAGACATCAGACCCACAATCATGAACACACACGCAAACAGGCAATGGAAGCTCAATTTACAGTGACATTAAAACGATTCTGAAAAGAATCTCAATACAAATCGATCAGGAGGTTTTGACTGTCTCGTGGATCTCCGGAGAACCACTGGACATGACTCAACTGCTGGGGCATTACATCCGGACACCACAGACTCAGGCACCGAATCCAGGTCCGGGACCGAAGGGCCGGCCAGGGCAGACGCAGCCGGCTCAGGAGCAGATTCGCACCAGGAAGCGGGACGGGCGTTGGAATTGGAGGCAGCAGGTGAGGATCCATCACCCAACCCCCGTGGCGGCGCCGGCGCGGGCGCACCCCCTGCATGCACCACCAACCCAGGCTCCGACCACGCGGGACCAGGTAAACATGGATGCCCAGGCGCAGCAGCAGGTGAGTGATGTGACGGGCCCCGTCCATCAGAGTGACCGGGATCCAGGGTAACAGTCACAGGTGAACAGGGATCCCCAGACGTGGCACACCCCGTGCGACTGTCCACCGAGGAGGTAACGGGCGAGCAGTACGTGGAGTCCCGCCCCACGGGATCGCCGGAAGCCACAGGTGGGTGAGGTGCCGGGCCCCTTCCCACGGAGTCCCCGGGTCCCGGGGGGCGTGGGTTTCCCCGGGTCCACGGAGTCCCCTTCCCCCGGCTGCCTGCTTACCCCATCCCCCGGATTGACGACACACTTGACGCCTTGTCAGGATCATCTCTGTTTTGTGTCCTCGACATGAATGCCGCTTACCATCAGATCTCCATCGATCCGCAGGATAGAGATAAGGCCACTATCACTACTCCTTTGGGAAATTTCAGATACCGTCGCATGTGTTTTGGCCTCAATTCCGCGCCCTTCACCTGCTGCAAGTTGTTGGATATTGTGCTGAAGGATGTTCCTCGGAGTTGCTGTGTGCATTACTTCGATGATATTATTGTGCATGGGGATTCGTATGATGATGTCCTGGCAGCCCTGGATGATGTACTTTTCAGACTTCGGCAGGCGGGGCTGACGTTGAATTTGGCCAAGTGTGAATTCTTCAAACCCCAAGTCACTTTTCTTGGCCACGTTATTTCCAGGAGAGGCATGTCCACTGATCCGGAGAAGGTGGCGAAGGTGAGGAACTGGCCCATCCCCCGGACAAGGAAAGAGCTCTCGAGCTTCCTTGGACTTTGCTCATATTTCCGGAAATATGTGCAAAATTTTGCTTGTATCGCCTCCCCTTTGTTCGAACTCACAAGAAAAGAGGTGCCATTCGTGTGGTCTGAAGGCGCTGATGATGCTTTTCGAACACTTAAGAAGGCCCTCTGTGATGCTCCCATTGTTGGTTTTCCTAGGTTTGGTGAGGGAGCGGGCGCGTTTTTATTAGACTGTGACGCCAGCAATGAGGGCATGGGTGCTGTTCTTTTGCAGGAGCAGGACGGTGAGCAACGGGTGATTGCTTATGGTAGTCACCGACTGTCACGGGCGCAAAAGAACTATTCGACGACTAAGAAGGAGCTCCTAGCGTGCGTAACGTTTGTACAGGAGTTCAGTCACTATTTGAAAGGGAAATCGTTCTTCCTCCGTACGGACCATAGCAGCTTGCAGTGGCTCCTCAACTTCAAGAACCCGTCTGGCATGCTGGCCCGCTGGATTGAGATCCTGGGAAATTTTCAGTTCCAGATCCTTTACCGTCCAGGAGCTGACAACTCTGCTGCAGATGCGTTGAGCCGCTATCCGCTACTCGTTGATGACAAAAGCTGTCAAACTGAAGCTTGTTGCAGGGTCTCGGCCAGAGATTGGCCCATGTCCTTCATCCAGCAGGAGCAGGACCGAGGCTCCGATGCAGGGTTACCTCGGCGGCCGACCGCACCGCCCCCCGCACCAGCTCCACCCCGACTCCTCCACCTGCGCTCCTCAGTCATGCGCTGCTCGATAGCCTCGATACGTGCCATGATCTGTTCGAGCATGTCTGGCCTCGACTTACCGTCCTCCTGACCTTGCCTCGGTGCGGCGGAGACCTGACGAACAGGCTGCTGAAATCTCTCACTCTGGATGAGGTTTCTCACCCGCTGTACAGTTTCCTCAAAGGTCCCGATCCCCTGGGCGATGATATGTTCTTGGAACTTTGCAGGAAGTGTTGGAAGGAAGGTATGGAACAGTACCTGATCACTGAGGGGTCCGGGAAATGCCTCGCTTATCAAACGCTTAAATTGGATGACGAATGCATCCAGTGACGTAGAAGTATCGAACTGTAAGCAGCGCAACTTAGCATGAGCATCCAACGCGCAGGGCCTTCTGAAACTCTCCGAAAGGCCCCGCATTGCCTGAGCGTAGGTGTCCCGACTGTCAGCCGGAAGTGCCTCAAAGGCATCCCGGGCCACCCCCGTTAAACACAGGGGAAGAAACCTCAGTTTGAGGGCATCATCGAAAGCATGCAAGGTGAAGAATGTCTCCAAGTCAGCCGAAAAACGGGAAAAGGAGCCCTCCCCAGAGAAATCTGGCGCTTTCATTGAAAACCCGGTGGCCCCACGAGCAGACGTAGCCGGTTTCACGTCGTCAGGCATTGTTCTGACTCTAATGCACTACGAAAAGAAAAAAAAAACACACACACACAAAGCCAAACAATACACGACACCACAGAACAGTACTTAGCTCATTAGAAGTGAGTGAAGTCTGGTTGAGAGGGCAGGTTCAGCGCACCAGCGGCAGCAGCCAACCGGGCGGCGGCAGCAGCAGCCGACAGGGCAGCGGCAGCAGCAGCCGACAGGGCAGCGGCAGCAGCAGCCGACAGGGCAGCGGCAGCAGCAGCCGACAGGGCAGCGGCAGCAGCAGCCGACAGGGCAGCGGCAGCAGCAGCCGACAGGGCAGCGGCAGCAGCAGCCGACAGGGCAGCGGCAGCAGCAGCCGACAGGGCAGCGGCAGCAGCAGCCGACAGGGCAGCGGCAGCAGCAGCCGACAGGGCAGCGGCAGCAGCAGCCGACAGGGCAGCGGCAGCAGCAGCAGCCGACACGGCAGCG